AATCCATTCAGGGGTATCTAGAACGTATGAATTCTTGTAGGGAAACAAAAAATTAGGAAATATCTTCTTTGGAGTCAGTGCAAAAATTTTAACATGTTTTATACAATCTGTAAATTACAATATATGATTCTATATTCTTTCGAGCAAAAAACAGCGTTTATTTCGTTCGTTTATCACAGAAATTGCAGAAATAGGAGCAAATTTAGTAGATGATTACAGTTTTTATGGCTTTATAATCGCGGGTATTTAAATTAATTCCGTACCGCTGCCCTTACAGGAATTTAAATGCCCGTAGGATAGTGGTTAAAAACTGTCAGTAACTTTTAAATTTCTGAATGTGAATTGAGGTTTTGGTAGCATTTCTGAATATGAATTGAGGTTTTAGATTAAAATTGAACTTAAAATTAGTGCCTTTGTGTTACTATAGTTGGAATTTGGATTTGATGGTACATTCCCTGATCTTGTCATATTAAACAGGGTTTTTGGTTTTTAGTGTTCTTGGTTCCTGTTAGGTATTTCTGACGTTGGTTGGTTGATGGGTGAGAACTGTAGGATGAAATCCTGCTCCTCCCCCTCCCCCTACTTCCCCTCCATCATCATCATCATCATCATCCTTTTTCTGAGTACTTTGCTTCGTTAGCCTGATACAAGGATTATGAAATTATCCATGAAACAGTCAGCCTGAGTGCAGTGAAAGGTTTATTGCTGTAGTGACAGAAAGTATATGTTGTAGCAAGTTCTCAGTACAGTGAAATACACATGACCTTGATACTGACCTATATAAAGAATACAAAATAGTGGGATTTTAACTTCATTTATCTCCACTCTGTAATACCATCTGTGTTGGAAGGTCATGGTGTTCTGGGGTGTGATGTTATGTAGTTTGGCAGGTAAGTACCCTCTGCTTGCTAGGTACCAATAATTTTTAAGAACCTGCTGCCTTCTTCAAGGTAGAAGAGTGAGATGATCAGATGATACTGGGAGATTTTCTACCCTGAAGATGGAGACATGGGGTTCCTATGAATTATTGGTATCTGTCTACCATACTACATGATGTTGCATCCCAGAAAATTGTAACCTAAAAATTCATTGCCATGAGAACCACAGATTTCGTGTCAAGGGTGGAAATTTGCAGAAGGAAAACATATACAATTAAAATATAAAGGTTCTGTTCAGTGTTTTGGTAGGCAGGATGCATGTATTTATAGGAGTGAGAATTAGTGGAGCAACATCAGTGTTTTAATTTTGCCTTATAATATCAAGAGCCGGGATAGCCTAGTCAGTATAGTGACTGGCTACAGACTGAACGACTGTGGGGTCAGAGTTTGAGTCCAGTAGGGTCAAGAATTTTCTCTTCTCAGTGTCGGCCAGACCGGCTCTGGGTTCCATCCAACCGCCTATCCGATTGGTACTGGGGCCCCTTTCCCTGGTGGTAAAGCATCTGTGACGTGAAGTTGACCACTCAACTCCAGCTAGTGCCAAGGTGAAGAAAATGTGGATCTGTACATCCACTCCCCATATGCCTTAATGGTGCAGTGCTTCATTCGTTGAGCATGGAGACAACATTATCTTCTAATATCAACATGGAAATAGCTTACTTTGCAAGCATTTTATTGTGTATACGTAAAATATTGTTTTGATGTCTTTATAAAATTTGAAGCAAACTGTGAGGTACTGAAACAGAGGAGTAGTTATTTCTTTGTACAGGACAAGTCTCGCTGAGTTTCAAGAAATATCCATTTTGTATGAGTTTAAAACGACCACCTCTGTGGTCTAGTGGTCAGAGTTCCTGGATACAGATCCAGAGGTCTCAAGTTCGATTCCCAGTGCTACCAGATTTTTCCTGAGAAGTAGTTGGTCTGGAACGAGGTCCACTCAGCCTCATGATGATAGTTTAGGAGCTATTTCAAGGAAATAGTGGCTCCCATCTAAAAACCAAAATTAACGGCCATGGGGATTCGTTGCACTGACCATGTGACACCCTCTATCCACTAAAGTTGGCACTAATATGCGGCAGTTGCTAGGTCTGTATAGTTCTCTTGTGGACTAAAACCACAGAGTTTTTTTTTTATGAGTTTAAAACTGCAGTTATCAGTGAAATGCACTTATATGTTTGAAATTTCACCCATCAGTGTCTCCGTTTTTACCTAGTTCATAAACAAATTCTGTTTTGTGTGAGCTGGGTCTTCAGGAATAATTTGCATCTGCTGCTGAAAGTCCTCTGTTTTGGTAGACATTATAGTTGCCTACTTCAGAGTTAATGTCTTTGGAAGGGATCAGTCCAGAAGCCCATATGTAGATAGGCCAGGCTGTGGGTGGTGAGTTCGAGGTGGAGGCATGATTGGATGAGAGAGAAGAATGATTTCATAGCTGGAGTTCCCACTACCGGGTATGTGTAAGGATTTAAACCTGCCCTCCAAAACATTAACTCAAAAGATGGCATCTGTAATGTTTGCCTAAATAGATAATCCTCAGTCTTTAATGTGATGTGACTTATTCTCAGAAACCAGGGTTATACATTAAACTCCAGGTGCAAAAATCTAAGCACAAGAATTTCTCTTTTGTGTAGGCAACACACTTCCAGGTACTGTGGGCCTGTGCAGAACGTGCCGGAATTCTGAACCCATCTCAAGTGCGTGTAGATCATGTTGGCTTTGGCGTAGTGTTGGGTGAGGACAAGAAAAAGTTCAAGACCAGATCAGGAGAAACTGTCCGTCTAGTGGATCTGTTAAATGAAGGTAAGGAGCCAATTCAGTGCAGTCACATCTTGCTGTACTGTAGTGTTATCATGTCTCTGATCCTGTGAGAGGTGTGATTTTGTTCTAAACATTGTTAATACAGTGTGCTATGAAGAAATAACTTATCTGTGCTTGTTCAGCTTCTGATTCATTAATTAATTTTATTTTGTCTTTTAGATCAAAATTCATTGATATAGGATGTGTCCATCTTACTCATGGAGGTACCGCGCCATAGCTCAAGCGGTTAGTCGCTGTCTTCCCACCGCGGCGGCCCGAGTTCAATCCCGGGTCTGGTCAAGTGGGATTTGTGGTGGACAAAGTGGCGCTGGGGCAGGTTTCCTCCAAGTATTTCGGTTTCCCCTGCCAATCTTCATTCCACCAACTGCTCCACACTTGCCCTCACCTTTCATCTGGGCCTTGTACAATAGGCCAGAAGTGGCTGCAGTACAAGGGACTTAGTCCCACCCCACTAGCAATAAAAAAGTAATACTCATGGAGCTGAGCCCTTCTAGAGGAGCTGCCAATTCTGCAGCTACTCAATGTCCCAGCATTTTATGTAACTCAAAAGTTCATTACCATGTTCACAAGAGCCCTCCACTGGTCCCTATCCTGAGCCAGATCAATCCAATCCATACCATCCCATCCTATCTCTAAGATCACCATGTTACGTGGGTCCCTTGTTACTACGGCATGGCGCGTCTTCAGGTTGCGGATGGAGGAGATGCCCTCCAGTTTTGGAAGTAAGCTGCAAATAAATTGAATAAGCAGTCGTGGACAGCTGACAAGGGGTTTTCCTCCAGCTGGAGGTTGGGCGTGAGGCTAACAACTTCTCACCGTAAAAAATAGAAAAAACATCAAGAAAATTATGTACCTACTTATGGTAATCATATATCCATTTTCATTTTATTGAGGTTTGGCTAATCTTTACTGTCATGTGATGTGATTGGGAGAGAGAGCTTGAAAGTGTACATTCTGAAAGACATCAGATGACTAAAGAAATTTCTGCAAAAGTAATCAAGGAAGAGATGTTTTATCATGCTTGTTCATATAGGAGCCCTGCAGCATAAGTTGGATTACATTTGTTTGAGACTAATTCTGATCCACATTGATACAGTTGTGTTACAATTTGTGGTTGACTTAATGTGATAATAGATTATTGATTATTGAAAGAAAAATATGTCTGTTGAGCATGGAAAACTAATTATAATTAATTCATGAAATTCAGTAATGTCTTGCAAGAAGTAAGCTTTATATATGGGTCCAGATTGAGAAATACATAATAAAATTGAATGTTTCTGCTCAGTCTTACAAAAGTCATTTTGAAATCGTTTTTGCTGGTGATGTTTCGTTCTTGGAAACAAGAAAATGAGTTTATAATTTAAAATAAAGTATCTCTTGCACTTGCTTCTTTTGTTTGTACCTGAATTTAATATACCTAGATATCGTGTTATGAGGAATAAGCAGTGCGTGTCAAATTGTTTGTGGATTGTTGACGTTGATGAGTCTATTTCTGTGAAGGCAGTGGAATAGTGACTGGTTTTATTCTAGTTGTGTGGATTCTTTATCATTCTCCGCGTACAGTCGTTGGAGGAGTGCATAGTTGGAATACGATACTCTCATGATCTGAAAGTAACAAGAAAAGAGTGTATGTTACAATCCAGCTACTATGGAAACAAGCATGCAAAATTCAAATATGTTTATGCATGACTTTTCTTCCATAAGTTTGCCTATACAAGATATAACGTTGCCTAATTCATAGAGCAGATGGGTTGTATCTATTCATATACCTCCTGAAAGGGAAATACTTATATTTACAATTAAGTATATTTCAGTCCAGTGTGACATATAATGCCTTCACCACTTCAGCACTTAGTTACCCAACATGTTTCGATTCTTAATGAATCATCATCGGAGATATACCACTACGATCAGGAACCCACCAACATGTAAATGTTTTTATAAGACTGTATACACTTAAAACATTTATGATGCTCACTATATGTAGTTGTTAATTTTCCATTGTCGAAATAGATGTTTGACGTAAACTTTTATAATAAGAACATTCTTGAAGTATATTACTTAGAAGTGACGTAGTTGCAATCACTTCCATAAAGGATAGTTTAAAAATGTAATTTTCCACTGCGCTGTATATAAAATTCAATTTGTTTCACCACAGCAGCCTTCCTTTACGTCAAAATTATGTTATGAATGTGTGTAAAAACCTATTTTTAAGTTAAGAAATTTGTTTGTGAACCAATATGGATCGTGTTTTATCTTCCTTGGTAGTGGATATTGTCATCTATCCCTTTTGGTGATGTGTTCTTGTTTTTACTGGTGTAATTTATATGCGTGCTTTGTCGCTTGTATTTAATTTTTTTCCCAATCATTACTTTTTCAGTTTCGGTTATTATTGTGTGTGTGTGCGGTTGCTTTATGATTCCCTCATTTGCTGTCCAGTTGCCCTTATTTATTTTTTCCATAGTATTCCTGTAACTTTAACATCATTTGCTGTCTGCCATACTCATTAAATCCCAGAAAAACTTTTGTAGGCTCTGACAGCTTTTGAACATAATTCTCAGAAGGTGACTGCACCATGTGGAATCTTTTGTCATATCTCTTTGCATATAATAACTATGTCATATGTTGGGGAACACAAATTGAGTATGAAATCATTGCTGAAGGGGTCAGTCACCCTGCCCATATATGTATGTGTAAAGTAAAGTAAAGTAAAGTAATCCCTGTAACAGGCCATGGAGGCCCATAGGATTATGAGATGTTGAGGTTCCCACATTTTTTAGACAATCGGCTCGTAGATGGCGGCAAGGTTGTCAGCCCTACGTGCCGGCCACCCTTTACCCCCAAGAATATCCCTGGTACTCATTTCTTTTAGAGGCTGAGTTGACCCCAGGGCCATAGTACGGCTGGAAGGATTAGGTGAATTGAAAAAATCAAATGACCTTATCTGCACTTGAACCCCCAACCTTCCAGCTTGTAGCATAGTGCCTCAACCAACTACACTACCACATGCCCCCATATGTATGGTGTGTGTGTATATATATATGTGTGTGTATGTGTATAAAACCAGCCCAGAATTGAAACAGTTCACCTATTTTTGGTTTTCTATGGTGATGAGAGTAAGTGATTATGATTAGGATCATGGACACTTACCGTAGTGAATGTATGCATATTGACAGAGCAAAAATTAGCTGCTGTCAGAGTTCTAGCCTTCTGAGCTTGTCTCATGATAAGCTGAATTGAAGTCTTGAAACTTGGAGGCGCGTCATACCATTCACAGTCGTAGGCTGCCTGATACACATTGCAGCTCTGCAATGGACCATGTGTATGGTAACTCATAGTCAGTAATTTTAATGTATTGAATACTATTAGTGTACGCAGTGTCCCTAGAGTATATGTGTAATTCGCTTTAATATTATGCATGATGCTAGTATAGTAAAATGTGAAGAAGATTACATTTGAACCAAAACCCATACACTGAACAGGCTGATCTGTTGGTAATGCTCTGTACTTGTAGTCAGGAGGTGCTTGGTTTTAATCTCATCCAGGACACCAGCTATCCTGATAGAGGTTTTTGTGGTATTCGTTGACTCCAGACAAATTCCAAGAGGTCAGAGTTTGTAAATTTCTATATATAATTGCAAAGTAATTCTGTTACAGTATTATAGTGTGTAGACCTATTGCTAGGTAATGATTGCAAACAAGTATGTTCCCATGGCGATGAATCAACACACAACAGAGAAACTGTTACAAGTGGTGTTTTCTGTGGTCCACACCTCAGTTTTATAGGCGGGATGAAGTTTAGAGCTCAGTTCAGTTGGAAGGTAGCCACCATTCATAGAGGACTTGAGCATGGAAGCAGAGAAATAGCCATTGTTGGAGCCATTACCAAGCAACTACTGGTGAAGGCACTGAAGACAGAATATTGTGTGAGCTGCAGGACAGTGATCTTTATAGAGTGTGTAAACTAGTGAGGCTGTTATAATTAAGTGTGGTCATGAGTTGTGTGTTAAAGTGGTCAATGAATCCAATCTCCAGTCTAAAACTCCGTCAAGAGTCACTCTTAACACATGACAGTATGAATGTCAGGATGGTAAGACAAATTTGGAATCTTGCTCAATATATGTTTGCATATTCATAACACAATGGTGGTTCATTAGGAAAGAATGAATTATAATCATTCTTTGTGTCCATTCACAGACCGCCTTGTTTTATGATGGTGTAGGTAAAAATAAAACATTTACTCTACAATGTTGCCACACCTGAATTGATAGTTCCTCGCTGTACCAGCAAAAAAAGAATAATTGAGAGATGGCTACTATCACGAACACTGTTGCCGATACAAACTTGACACTTTGCACTGGGACCTGTAATGCAGACAGATTAATTCTTTGTTACATGTTGGTTTAATGAAGCTTTATCGTCTGAAACCAGGATTTAAATCTCCTGCAGTTGTAACGGTTGCCAGTTTTTAACATGGCAATATTGGTATTTAGACTAAAGTAATGTACAGAGTGTCTGGATGAAAGGTATCCAAAATAAAATAATTATATCTCAGAAAGCATTTACTATACACATTTATGGGTTACACTATTACAAAGGGAAGTTATCAAAGCTATTTTCTGCCTATATAACTTTCTCAATAAATTTCAATGCGGATTGCCTTGGTGGCACGACAAATTTCCAGATGATATTTGACCTTGTTCCACATTGCTTGAAGCATGTTTGGTGTTACCATAGCCACAGTGTCCCTTATGTTGTCTTTCAGGTGTTGAAGGTTGTTGATCTTAACCTGATAGACAGTGTTATTCACATAACCCAACAAGAAAAAAATCCAGTGGGGTTAAATCTGGCAAAGTGATTGGTCCACCTCTGCCAATCCATCTCCCAGCCATCTCTCTGGCCAGGTGATTCGTAACATGGTGGCAGAACTGTGGTGATGCATGCACATAAACTGGATACGTGTATGCCAATTAGTTTTCGAG